TTTTTTTTTTTTTTTGAATGGGTGATTATACGAAGCTGCGATTATGTCTCATTATGGCACGAGTATTAAATTATACAATGAAAAAATTCTTCTTATATTATAAATTTCTTCTTTTTTTATAATTCTGATAAATTAGATATAAATATATACATTATATTTTTTGAGCAAGGAAATAAATATTATGCAGTATACATGTGAAAGACCTTAATCAGTCGAAGTAAAAATTAACGATAAACTTTAATTGTTAAAGTATCTACATTACTATCACAATGAAATATTAAATGTAATAATATAGCTAAAAATTTAAATATATCATCTCTTTTATTATTCATAAAAGAAAAGCAAATCTACTTAATAAATAAAATAATCTAAAAAATAAAAAATAAAATTTATCAACATCCTATATATTGAAAAATACATATATCAATTATTATTAAATTCTAATAGCACAGTTAATTATTTAATACAATTACATATTATTTTCTTTTCTTAATTTAATACTAAAATTATTATTTTATATTATTTAATTATATTAAATACAAAATAGTAAAAAAAAAAATTGAATTAAAAGTTTTGAACGATAAACAAACAATCTAATTAACTTAATTTTATATATACGTATTTTATAATATTTTTATTCATATATTCGATGTATAAATTTATATGCATTCTGATTGATATATTTTAACAATATATTTAATAACTTCATATCTGTCAACGAACAAACGAAGAAAGAAAAAAGTTAAGACGTGCGGACGAAATGAATTAATAAATTGAATAAAATTTTTATTAGATAGATTTATTAGCATAAAAAATCCGATGATAAAATTATCATTTCAATATTTATGTAAGATATTAATCTAATTAACGTAAGATATTCTAAGTTCCGTATGATGCGTTTCTTATCGTTCGAATTGTTCAGGTGTCGTATAATGTGACATAATCACAGCAATATTTATGCTATTTTTATCTATGATACTTTTTCTTTTTTAATTCTCAATAAATAGTAGCTTCTGCAGCGATATACGGATGTAGATTTTACAAGAGTCGCTGGTTGCACACCGTGCCAGCCCTCTTCCGAATATGTTTTCAGTAGTTCGATAATGTAATTCATCACACATATTGATGCACGGAGTATTGCGTAAATACTAACAAGTTCCTTATATAACGCATTGATAAGGATCTCACATATCTTTTCTTATTTCAATTTCATTTTTTATTTTATCATTTAACTATTATTGTTAGTGATGCTACTTAATAGCTTTCTTTTTTTTTTTTTTTTTTTTTTTTTTTTAGAAATGATGATAATGACGATGACGATGGTAATAATAATAATTAATAAAAATTAATAATTAATAATGGTAATAATATAATTATAATATAATTATAATATAATATAATAATATATAATATAATATAATAATATAATATAATATACTATTAATAATATGTCTTTGCTTTGTGCGATCGACCAAGTGCAACGTGGCCTAAAAGGCGATCAACGGCAAAAGGATTCCGCTTTAATTGATTCGACATCAATTTATAAATATACGCTTCGCCTTCTATCCGCATCGCTCGCATCGGCCGGCGACGATTTTATAAACAGGTACATGCAATGAATTTCGTCGCTTTTACGAAGATTTCGCCGCTTGACCCGATGTGCGTGAATGTATTTATGTGTATTCTTTTGTGTATGTATGTGTGTATATGTGTGTGTGTGTGTGTGTAACGGCGCCCCGGTCGACCGCACGATCAAAAATTGCATTTCATTAAATCGATATGAGATCGTTTTGGTATGATAATCCCGGCCATTTAATTTATCCGCGACATTATTTTTCCCTTCCGAATCTCGGCGATCATGCTTGGGACAGAGGCCCATGGATTGATTATCCGGGGCGATCGTTGTCTCTGTCATTCAATATAGGATTTTGATCGCCCCTAATTGGCTCGCTTGTCGAATCGATCGAATGTTCGGTTAATACGCGCGCGGACTATGCTCGGCTATCGCGGCCAACAGTGTTGCCAACGGAGCCGGGATTCTTTTTTACGGGTCATCTCAGCTGTCGTTGAGCGAGATTCAATGATACATCGATTCATGGGACAAATTACGAATGTCGCAGGAAGAAAATTCAACGTTACGATTCGATCACAATTGAGTCAACGACCAATCGAATAATAACGTTATCACGTTATAGTGGCAACACTGTGGACGCGAAAACGACTTTTTTTTTTTTTTTTTTTTTTTTTTTTTTAAATTATTCATATTGTCGTTGGAGGGTAGTCGGCAGAAAATTATCGGATCCAGGTTCGTTCCCTGGCGTTTGAACGTTGTCAGGCGATCTATTAAATGCGATTATATATAGTATTTTACAATAATAACGGGCGAGTCCTCGACTCGATGCAACGAATTCGACTAAGTAATATTGACGTTTACTTCACAAGAAGATACGTATGTATATATAGTTTCAGTGCCTATCGGTTGGCCATTTTGATCGAAGCGAAAAGGACAACCATCGCGAATGACGATGACGAAGATACGTATCCGTGATATAGATGAGGTTTATCCAGTATTTTGATCAGGAATACATTTACCTCAATCAAAATGGTCCACCGTATCGTTTCCGTATGAAATAAACCTGAGGTATCTTTAAGTCTGTAAAGCTTCCGTTACGAATCTTTTAAGTTCTCGATCTCTTTCCGTTCTCATCGCGTTTCTTTCGCATTAAATGTCCATCTTTTTTCTTTTTTAAAAACTTCTCTTTGTT